AGCTACGGGAGGCAATTTTACAGGTGCCCGCGGTGGGGACAAGGACCTGAAGACTGTAAATTCTTCAGGTGGACGGACAATACAACTGTTTCTACGATATCCCAATTGGACACAGGTACTAGGAGTTCGAGAGTACCACAACAGGAGACCACCGCATATGGTTCGAGTTCTTCCGTGTATACCGCACCCCATCAAGACACGCTTGCTCGGGGATTAGAGGTATCAGAAACGGGCAACATTCGTCATGATGTGACTTTACATGTCAAACTCAATATTGTCATATTTTTTCTTGTAATTTTAACATGTTATTTCTTCTTTTTTTTGGGGTCTTTCTATAATCCATATTGGAGTTTCATAAATATGTATTGAACTTTCCTTTATATCACTATGTTTTCTTGATGTAATCACAACTTTTTTGAGTTATATAAATATTATTAAATATTATTAAACTTTTTTGCAATTTCATTTCTAGACATATGAGAAAATAACATTCTGCTACACAGATTATTCATTCAACTCAAAAAATTTACAAATAAGCTGTTTACAAAACGCACAAACCAAACAGCTAAACTGCTTATTCAGACCAGGGGCAAAAGGGTCAATTTTTCACAATCAGCTGTTTTCCAGACGCGTTAACCAAACAGCCAGACAACTTATCTGGATCAGCTGGTCATCAGCAGATTATCAGGATAAGCTGCTTATCAGCAGAAGCTGGATAAGCTGCAGCTGCCCCAAACAGACCCTAAGAATCTATATTGGGAAAAAAAAGGCAGTCGCAGAAGTGATTTTAACCACAACAACAACAAGCCTTTAATCCCACTAAGTGGGTTCGGCTAACCTTAGTGCAATTGATTTTTCGACAAAATTTTGCATTGGTTGTTCACTACCTGATGCAACCCTCAACTTTTCACATCCGGGACTTGGAACCCGACGATGATATTGTCGTTCAATATTTAACCAAACCAGATAAATTCTATATAAAATCTAATTAAAACATAAGAAAAATGGCAGAAAGGTCTGCTGCATTGTGCAACTGAGAAATCAATAAATGTTAAAAAAGTAAATACTTCGTATTTCAAGTGACATGAAAAGAAAATGTTAATTTCTTTTCTTAAATGAAATCAGCAAAGAAGCCCTTTCTTATTATTAAATACTTAAAAATTTTGAACAAAAGAGATCAATTTAGTTCTCCCTGCTCTGAGACAGAATCTTGTGTGTTTCTAACTGTGTGTGGCCCTCCAAGTACTCAGCAAAGATAAGAAAGTGAAGGAGAAAATAGTGGACAAAAATGCCAAAAAAATTACCTGGATATAGTCCATCCACCTGATAACGTTTGGGTATTTTTGCACTTCTTCATTAGAAATATGACTCTATAATAAAGAAACACAAAAAAAACACTCAGAAAAATGGTCTAAAGAACCGAGATTGTAGTGCCCCTACGTTCATAGTAGTGACAACAATACAAAAAAATAAAAGCCATTAAGAATCTAAAAGCACGATGAAAGACGAGCATGGCTGATTGACAAACTAAACCAAAAAGATATTCATGAAATAAATTGCACGAGGAAGTAAGTTGAAAAAGACAGGCCAAACAGCTCAGCACAAACATGCTTCCTTGAAATAAATTCCATGAGGAAGATTAAGAGAAATATTTGAAAACATACATAGATGAGACTGATTCCCTAAAATAGCCAAAGCAGATTACTAGATGGACAAACATAACTCACATGAAAGTAATAACAATTAAAACAACATTGTTTACCATATTGAAAAGAAATATATTCCCTAGTGAAGTATTTAGCATATTCAGCCGTTGAATTGCTTGTTCAGCTCACGAAAAATAGCTCATTGGATTTTAGTTCACCTAAAAATATCAAGGAATGCCACTTCCATTTGAACAGAGGTATAGATAATTTTCCAAATTGCTCAAATACAAACCACGCAAAATGACAAAGGAATAAGATGACTAAAAAAAGGCTCGCATACATGAAATGGAAGGCAGGGCTTGAATTATTTGTTGTAAGATAACAGAGCAAAGTAGCAAACAATTATTCAACATTTCTGCGTATATTTCTAGTCTTTGCCACTGCAATACCGTAAGTATTTATCATGCATCCAAACAGTTAATGTTCAGCACTTGATATTTCAATACTGAGCCCTTAAAAAGAAGTGTTGATGAAGATGAGAATGCAAGGAAATATATATACCACATGACCAACAACATAATGAAGATTAGATGCAATAAGATGGCTTCTATTTTTTAAAACTATTTTACTTCCCCAATCTGATAGTATTATTAAATTTGCGCTCATATGATAATTGATAGTATTACTGAATTGGTTAACAATCTCAACTTATGCATAATTGCAACTTTTTCAGTGCCTTTCTACAGCAGAAGCAACCCTAGACTGAATGTTAGCACGAAGATAATGTGAGCTTAAATTAACAGAATCTATTACTTCAAGCTTCAAATCCATATTTCAAAGAAAAAAAAAGATGAGTACCAGAAATTCATGCAAAGCTGAAAACACAATAACATCAGCCACCGAAGGCTTTAATCCTCCCAAAAGAACAGACTTCTGAGCTAAATCTTCATTTAAATCTTTGAGAGCCGTATGGTAAGCATCCCTTTGATCAGGTAAATTACTAGCAAAGTTTGCCCACTTCAAGACCTGGCAAATTTTCAAAATATAAGAAATCCAACATCAGTTGATATGCTCTAAAAACATAAAACATTCCATAAAAACAGTAAACATTCCGCCAGAATCTAAACGAGAAATTACCTCATCTTGATTGTTTGTAAGAGAAATATCTTTTGCTGATGACTGGAAAAAGTTTGAAACCAGGTTTGTAATGTCACAAGGCCCGGAAGTCTTGCAAGAAAATTTTTCCTGGGATATTGGATAGAGAAGGTGTCAAATACTTGTGCATAGAAGTATAATGCACAATTTACAATAATGTCAAATGTAATTTAAAAAAAAAAGCAAAAATAAAGAGTCCAAAAATATATGCCTAGTGCATAAAGTACTAGCATAGCATTGGAAGTGCTGTGAATCAATCTAAATTAAACAAAGACTGAAAGCTACCATAGCTTCTGTAGATTCTGCTGCCACAAATTCAGAATTTTTATTGTCATCAATATTTGAGTTAGTTTGGGGCTATTTGCTCTACAGAAGAAAAAATACAGTGTCAAACAAATTCAGTGTATTTGAAATTTTGAAATTGTTTGGTAGAGTGTAAAGTAAATGAAAGAGATCACTTTTTAGTGTTTATTTTGAAGTAAAATAAATTCAATGTAAAGCTCGACAATCGTGGTCGGTAGTGGCAGCGGCCATCTACAACAACAGGAAGTGGCAACGGCAACAATGACAATAGATAAGGGCAGCGAGCGGCAGTGGAAGGTGGCCGATGATGACAGCTACATCCAGTTGGAGATGGCAATAAAATTCCAATAACGGCAGGAGGCTATAGGAGACAGGCGGCCTGAGTTGTTGGGCTACCAATGGCGACAAGTGAAGCTTCACTCTTGCAATGCATTTGAAATTTAGACAACGTCAAGCAAATTCAAAATACATTGAAGATCAGCTAAAGAATAAATTCTAAACACTTCAATATTTTACAGTACATTCCTTTTTCATCCAAACCAAACGATTAATGTTAAAAAAAATATTGTATTCCTTTTATTCACACCCATTTTTTCAACAAACCAAATAACCTTTTTAACTTTACATTCATTTTGTTATAGAACAAGTCAATTACATAATTTTTTTTAGTTAATTTGATAGCAATTTATTCATTCATTAAATTAGGCAACTTTGGGTCATATAAGAAAGTTTATGGCATAAATAAATACTTTTTATGGAAGCAGAGACTATAATTCTTCTTCTATAATAGGATTTTAATAATTGATCAAACATGAAACCTAAAACCATTTCGAAAGGGGCATTCCCATTGTTAGACATAAGGTTTGCTTAGCTTGTTAATTAATATTTTCATCTTTCCATTTTATCTAACATATTTTATGTTTTTTTCAAGGTCTTCATTTGTCAAATTGGTATCAGACTTAAAAAGTTTGGATTGTTTCATATGAAGGATTTTATATTTTTTCAAGGTCTTCATGTGTCAAACTATATTTTTTGTTCTATACTAGGATTTTATATTTTTTTTTTCAAGTTCCATCATAATTTTTTCTTGATTTTTCCAAAAATAGATCACTTCCTCGGACTCTGTAGGGATTTCTCCATTTCAAATTAGATATACTAAAGCAACTAGCTTTTATCCCACTAAGTGGGGTCAGCTATATGAATCCTTTTTATCTATTGTGTCCTATTACGTGTCATATTTTCATTTAATTCAAATAGATTAAGATAATTTTTTATACAATATGCCTAAGTCTTTTTAGGTCTATCTCTATCTTTCTCTCTATCTTTCTTAACAAAAACATCTACTCTCCTAACATGATCTTCAAATGGTAGTGTGTAATATGACCAAACCATCTAAGACGACTCTCTCTAATCTTGTCCGCTACTGGAGCTACACCAAATTTATCACGGATATATTCACCACGCACTTTGTCTGTAAGTGTCAAGCCACTCATCCACCTAAGCATTCTCATCTCAGCAACACTTTAACTTGGTTTTATGCTTCTCTTTTAAAGGCCAACATTCTGCACCATATAGCACTACAGGTCTAAGGGTGTAAATGAGCCGAACATGAGCGAGCCCAGGCTCAATTTGTGTTTGGCTCGTTAAAAAATACAATTATTCGTGTTCGTCTCGTTTATATTTCGAACAAAATAATGTGGTTGTGTTTGGCTCATTTGCTTAGCGAGCGAACACAAGTTATTCACGAGCAAAGAGTCATTTTGACAACCCTAGTCACGCAATTGCATGATGTTAAAGATTGGGACGAGATTTAAATCTTATTATTTATATTAAAACATCATGCAAATATAATTTAATTTATATTTTTTTTCTAATTAATAATTTTAATTGATTATAATTGTTTGTAGCCTTAGCCAATTAATTTTTTTAAAATAATATTAATCAATTATATATATACATATAATTTTTTTGAGCCAAAAGAAGCCGAACAAGAACAAACAAATCTTTGTTCATGTTCCGCTCGTTTATAAAAAATTGTTCGTGTTCGGCTCGTTAACTTAACGAATGAATCAAACAAGAGCTTATTAACGAACCGAACACGAGTTCTCCAAGAACAATGAGTCTTTTTGACAGCCCTATCAGCAGGTCTCACCACCATCTTATAAAATTTTCCTTCAAGTATAAGCAGTACTTTTCTATCACATAATAGGCCTGATGAATTCGTCCACTTCAACCAACCAACTTGAATTCTACTAATAACATCCTCATTTATATCACCATAACTTTGAACAATAGACCCGAGATATTTAAAATGATCACACCTTTTAATGAATTGATCACCCATAGTTACAACTCTGCCACTAGAATTACTACTACTAAAATTACATTCCATGTATTCAGTTTTAGATCTACTCAATTGTAGGCCTTTAGATTCCAATGCAGACATCCATAATTAAAGTTTTTCCTGAACACTTTCTCTTGTCTTATCCACAAGAAGGATATCATCAGCGAAAATCATACACCAATGTACATCCTCATCTAAATGTCCAGTAAGAGCATCCATAACAAAAGCAAAAAAATACGGGCTTAAAGTCGATCCCTGATGTAATCCAACTGAAATATAAAAATACTTGATCAATCCTTCTTCTGTTCGAACACAAGTAACAGCTTGAATATAAGTAATATCAACACATTTTTTCTCTAAAACTCTCCAAAGCACTTCTCTTGGAACCTTATCGTAAGTTTTTTATAAATCAATAAAAATCATATGTAGATCCTCTTTATTCTCTTTGTACTTCTCCATCAAACTTCTCAATAAATGTATAGTTTCCATAATAAAACTTCACGGCATAAATCCAAATTGATTATGAGAAATCGTTGTATCATGTTTTAACCTATGTTCAATTACCCTCTCCCACACATCAACTTAATTCCTCTATAATTTGTACACTCTTGTGCACCCCCTCTACTCTTAAAAATGAGGACAACAATACTCTTCTTTTACTCCCCAGGCATCTTTTTGATTTTCAAAAAAATATTAAAGAGTTTAGTCAGCTAAGAAACTTCCAAATCTCTTAAATATTTATACACTTCAATTGGGACATCAGAAGATATTGTTGATTTTCCACCCATGGTTTTCTTTAAAGTCTCCTCAACTTCTTTTTTACTAATACGATGGTAAAAATAAAACATTTTATTAACTTAATGATATTAACGTCACTGATGCAGGGTCCCAAGTCTCAGATGTGAAAAGTGGAGGGCAGCGTTAGGTAGTCAACAGCTAGCATAAAATTTGTCCAAGAATCATGACATGAATCCTTTAAATCCATTACGAACTTAGATATGCAATTATAAAATTATTTTTCAAATGAATGGTAATTCAATTCACCATAAGTCATTTTTCTCCCTAATATGGCTCTCTTACCTCAAAGAACTCTCCCAAAAACCTAACAAATCTTAGCTTTATTTCCTAAAATTTCTCCACACCCTCCACTTCCAATTTAAATTCAAAAATAAATTAATTGAAACCAGCCCTCCAATTTCTCCACAATCAAGGCCAACAACCTTCTTATACCTCTAATTTCTCCACAATTATTATTTTACAGGCAGCACTTTAAGAACTGTGAATTTCAAACAGACCAATTGTTTCCAAAACACTGACTTCTGAACAGTGATTTTCAACGGCAGCTTTTGAATTGAGCTTTTCTACAGCTACAGCTGAAACAAACACAACCTTAGTTATTTTTCAAAAATTTATTCATTAATGTACCGATCTTGTGATAATCAAGCGATAAAGAATTATCTTCTCTTCATTCTTACTATGTCATGGTTTTCCTTCATAGCCTAAGGTCCTTTTATTCTTCATTTCAGTGGAGCTACCGTTGTTAAATCCCTCATTCTAACCATTCTTACGACCAAAACACAAAATGGCTTTTGGAGAGCAACCCTCCAGGTTCGGTCTCTCCTTTAATCCAGAAATTTGCATCACTCAGCCCACTAGTGGAGCTAAAAATAAATTGATCTCAATCACTGGTCAAAATTTAAATGGCCATAATTATCTCTAATGGGCACGATCTGTAATGATATTCATATGAAAAAGAGGCAAATGGCCATAATTATCTCCATGGTCACAATCTGTAATGATATTCATATCAAATAAAGGCAAAGATAACAACCTCGTGAGATCAACAACCATCCAGGAAGAGGAGATCCAGCCTGCAAAAAATCAAAATAAAAAAAAAATAACAACGTAATGGCTTTTCATACTCTACTCCACTGCCAATGAGATTTGAAAGTTGCTAAAGAAACATGCTCAAATTTTGGGAATATATCATAACCCTTCTCGATTAAAAAAAAAAAAACTCCACAAACTACAACAAGGTGATATCTTTAGTACTCGGGGTCTGTTTGGGGCAGCTGCAACGGTTTAAAGAAGCGGTTGTGAAGCTGCTGCAAAAGAAACGACCGTTCAAAAAGTTGCGGTGACTATTACCAATTTATTTTGAATTCAAAAAGCAAGCCGCAGTTTTCTGACAGTCACCACATTTTAACAGATTAGATTGAGAAAAGTTGTTTTTTACCATATAAATTTCTAGAAAACAGGAAGAAAGCAGTTCTCCAAACAAAACTGCGGTGAAGGTATGAAAAGCAAAGCAGCCAGAAAGCTGTCCCAAACAAACAATCAATACTTAATTCTCTAAAATGTCAATGACAACGACTTGATCAATTTGAACATCATGATTGGAAATGCCCTGAGGACAAAACACCGTACAAATCAATCATCAAGA